GCGGTAGTGTACTTTTCTAAGCAGATTGAATTTCTTCTATTAATATATTGATTATTGTAATAGATTTCTCGTGCGTGCGACGTACCTGGAGATCTACAACGAGGAAGTTCGGGATCTGCTCGGTAAAGATCAGAATACTCGATTGGAGGTGAAAGAAAGACCTGACATCGGAGTGTTCGTGAAGGACCTCAGCGGGTACGTGGTGAACAATGCCGACGATTTGGATCGCATTATGTCTCTCGGCAACAAGAATCGTGAGTAACGACAGTACAGCGATGCGGCAAACATGCGCAGTTTTGTACGATGCATACATGCTGAAAGTAATCCTGAATTCGCGTAGGAGTTGTCGGGGCTACTGCCATGAACGTGTCCAGCTCCCGGTCCCACGCGATATTCACAATCACGGTTGAATCTAGTCAGATCGGCGAAGATGGGGAGCAGCATGTGAAAATGGGGAAGCTCCATTTGGTGGATTTAGCTGTACGTATGTCGGTCATGCGACACAACGTTGTTTCTTCAAATATAAGATTTCCATTTTACGTTCCTGAATTTTCTTGTCTATTTTCTCACTTTTCTACATTGGCAGGGATCGGAGAGACAAAGTAAGACAAAGGCGACGGGCCAGCGGCTTCGCGAGGCCACCAAGATTAACTTGTCATTGTCCACATTGGGGAACGTAATATCCGCGCTGGTTGACGGACAAAGCTCTCACGTGCCTTACAGAAATTCGAAACTGACTAGATTGCTTCAGGACTCGTTGGGTGGAAATTCGAAAACGTTGATGGTAAGTGATACAATATAGACATTCCATACGTTTACTTATTGTAAATAATTATAGATGCTTTAGCAGTTTTAACAAGTAATGTTATAATTACGCGTTTGTTTTCGTGATTAAAAAATATTTAACGTCATTAATATCGCGATTTCAGTGCGCAAACATTAGTCCGGCGGATATAAACTACGACGAGACTATAAGCACTTTACGTTACGCGAATCGCGCGAAGAACATCAAGAATCGCGCGAGGATCAACGAGGATCCGAAGGATGCTTTGCTTCGTCAGTTCCAA